GAAATACATATTGTGATCGATGGACAACGAAACCGTATGAAGCGAATGATGTCAGCGAAACAAATGCTAGCGTACTCCACTCGCCTATTGCCACGGACGAATTCGGCTGGGCCCTCTAGTCCTCCAGGACAAAAGCTCAAGTCGCAGAAAATGCATATTGTTCGTTGTATACCAACAAGCTGAATGCGAGATCGAGCGAGAATGACGAGTGTTGTGCAAGGATATGGTATCTTCGTTATCGCTGAGTCGTTCCTTAGTGTTGGTCGCGATGAACCGATCGTAATCTTCCGCACATCCTCGCTTATCGCTTCGACCACAACTATGATTCATCTTCTATGATGAATCGGTTCCGGATACTATTCCTCACGGACAGGAAGTCCATAAGTGAGGTATTCTTCTTATTTCACATCATAGGAGGCATCATCGACTGCCCTACTCGCACGGAGCAAATTAGAATTTGCCTCCCAGACCTTTTAGACCTGTCCCCACTTTTTACATGTCGCGACTATCTTCGAGGTATAGTGAGCTTGACCCGATCACTAGGTCTTGTAGGACAGTCAATAAATTATATAATGAGGAGCTTATTGATGCATATCCATGTCGACGCATATCCATGAATTTTGTATTATGTAATTATGAATGCCTCCATCATTGACGTATTTCATGATGGAGTTACGTCTGTTAAAAGGAAGATACACAATGCCTTGTCTTCTATGCGCGTTTCTTGTCGCTAATATTTCCGATACACTTACTATATCTTGTTATATTTGCTAGTCCTAGTCTTAATCCCTCTCTGATTACTTTCGTCTTTTTTGTTATACTTATTTAGAATTTTATATATATTTTTTTTCTTTTCTTTCTCTTCTTATTCTATCTCCGTTATTTTAACTATACAATTTTTACTGTATTCTTTCTGTTAGGTTATAATGGGCTTTGCCGGTGAAATAAAGTATTATTATTATTATCACGTGTAAGCGTACTACTACGCGGTAAGCGTATCGTTTACATCCCGACGAGAAGTCGAGCCATTTATCAAGTCCGACCGTGCATCGAGAATTTTCGTTCCTCCCTCCCCGACCTCCCTTTGTCCGCCACTTTTTTTCACGGTCTTTCATACATCGTGGATTTAACGAGGTTCCCTTTTCATTACGCGGAGCAAGAGGTCGGCCTGCTCAACTGCTCAACTAGCTAGGTCGACCGACGTTAATTGGGCGTCGGAAGCTCAAAGCTCGAGAGCCTGACTCCGTCGCGGAAAATCGACGCCGTTGCTCTTTTCAACCTCCTCGTCGCGGTGCCTGGATTCTTCGACCATCGAGGTCCTGTGTCGAACGTACGAGAGCCACGAAATCGTGGCGGAATATTTTTTCATCGAGTTTTTCGATCCTCCGTAACGTTACACTAACTCGAGTCGACGCAGAACCTTCGTAGTATTTTTTACGAAAGTGTACATACAGGGTGTCGCAGAAAATATATTAGAGCCGAACAGTAGAACTAAACGAAGCCATGCGCAAAACGATCAACAATTGCAAAAACTGAACTGTGCCCGGTCATAGACTCTCGGGACCACGAGTATAATTCCTGGCTTCGCGTCGCCATGATGGTTAGCTATATCTATTGATCCCGTCCCTGTGTCAATTCCCAATATCATCAATGACCAATGTGAACTTGTTCTAAACTTCTTCAAACGTAGCGCGCTTTTTATTGTGATTTCTGGTTTTGCCAGAAATGGCGGCTGGTTGTCTGATCACTCCCTAGAGCATCACTACATTCGTCGAGCTTCTACTGTTAACAAGGTTTTACGAATTACGATGAAACATATTTATAGTAGCGTTCGCTCATTTTTTTGAACGTTCGTCGACGTGAGGCTCAGTGGTCTAGGGGTATGATTCTCGCTTTGGGTGCGAGAGGTCCCGGGTTCAAATCCCGGCTGAGCCCATTTTATTTTGCTTTGTTTTTAAGTACGTACAAATAACGATGTTGACGTCACGGCGGGAGTCGAGCGAGAATGAACGTGTTGCCCAAGGATATGATATCTTCGTTATCGCTGAGTCGTTCGGTAGTGTTGGTTGCAATGAACCGATCGTAAACACATCGTTTGCGTATTGTTCCAGGCCCGATACCATGGCTGCTGAGGAGGGTGCGCTGAGCGGCGGACTCGGGGCGAAATTAAAATGTCCGACTCCTATATCACGCCTGAGGGTGGAGAAGATCGAGGGTGGCCTGATGGTAGCCGGAGTCGTGATAGCTGCGAACTGCCAGATCGCTCTTCCGGCATTCGGCTTTCTCTTTATGCTGGTCGGCGCTGTGCTCACTGGTACGTACATACCTTTCTGCTCCTACTCATCGTTTTCACCTATTTTTCGCCTGTCTGCGATGCTACGCGAAACTGTGGCATGCTCTGTTTGCCTCGTCTTCGACGTAGCAAACCATACTGGTTACCATAGAGTTAGTATAGATAGAGTAGGCAAGCCCGGTAGGTAGGCGTCCGGTGAATAAAAAGAGAAAGGAAATTGGATTTGGTGGTGCTATCTTTCTCTTACGACGAAACAGAGAAGAAATAATAATACCAAGTTCGTTTTTTCTCTCTTTCTATCGATGTGATGTTTCCACTTACACGCGCACCTATGTCTTGCCTACTCTNGAACAGTAGAACTAAACGAAGCCATGCGCAAAACGATCAACAATTGCAAAAACTGAACTGTGCCCGGTCATAGACTCTCGGGACCACGAGTATAATTCCTGGCTTCGCGTCGCCATGATGGTTAGCTATATCTATTGATCCCGTCCCTGTGTCAATTCCCAATATCATCAATGACCAATGTGAACTTGTTCTAAACTTCTTCAAACGTAGCGCGCTTTTTATTGTGATTTCTGGTTTTGCCAGAAATGGCGGCTGGTTGTCTGATCACTCCCTAGAGCATCACTACATTCGTCGAGCTTCTACTGTTAACAAGGTTTTACGAATTACGATGAAACATATTTATAGTAGCGTTCGCTCATTTTTTTGAACGTTCGTCGACGTGAGGCTCAGTGGTCTAGGGGTATGATTCTCGCTTTGGGTGCGAGAGGTCCCGGGTTCAAATCCCGGCTGAGCCCATTTTATTTTGCTTTGTTTTTAAGTACGTACAAATAACGATGTTGACGTCACGGCGGGAGTCGAGCGAGAATGAACGTGTTGCCCAAGGATATGATATCTTCGTTATCGCTGAGTCGTTCGGTAGTGTTGGTTGCAATGAACCGATCGTAAACACATCGTTTGCGTATTGTTCCAGGCCCGATACCATGGCTGCTGAGGAGGGTGCGCTGAGCGGCGGACTCGGGGCGAAATTAAAATGTCCGACTCCTATATCACGCCTGAGGGTGGAGAAGATCGAGGGTGGCCTGATGGTAGCCGGAGTCGTGATAGCTGCGAACTGCCAGATCGCTCTTCCGGCATTCGGCTTTCTCTTTATGCTGGTCGGCGCTGTGCTCACTGGTACGTACATACCTTTCTGCTCCTACTCATCGTTTTCACCTATTTTTCGCCTGTCTGCGATGCTACGCGAAACTGTGGCATGCTCTGTTTGCCTCGTCTTCGACGTAGCAAACCATACTGGTTACCATAGAGTTAGTATAGATAGAGTAGGCAAGCCCGGTAGGTAGGCGTCCGGTGAATAAAAAGAGAAAG